ACCCCGCTTCTCCTCGCACTCCGGATTCCCGTTAGGCTATCTCCTAACACTATAGGCTGCAAAAATATTCAAGTAAATAAAAAATATTCATTTTTAATTCAACATGGATAGGCAATTGTGATATTTAATCCTAGGCAAGGATTTGGTGAAGACGTCGGCGATCATATACTCGGTACTTAAGTAGCTAACTTTTACAGTGCCCTTACTTACTAATTCTCTTACCTGGTGGTAACTTACATCTATATGTTTACTTCGTTTATGCAATATGGCGTTATTGCTTAATTCTATAGCTGCTTGACTATCACAATAAACTGTTTTTGGAGATTTTACATACTTTTCAAAGCCCATATGAGTCATTAGTCGCACCATATACACTATATCTCTGCATACCTCAGATATTGCTACAGATGTTCCATGCATGATATACATGGTTCAAAAGACGTTCAATACACGTTGAGAGTGGTATAGTAGACGTTGCATACACGTTATACGTGGTTCGAAAGAGGTTCGATACGTGTTGAAAGTGGTTAAAAGTGATAAAATAAACGTTCTATACATGTCGTACGTGGTTCAGCAAGCATTCGATACACATTGACTGTGGTTTAATAAACGTTCGATACATGTTCATGAGTGGTTCATTAGGCAGTCGTATACAGGGTGAGTCTCCTAACATGACAACCTCAAATAACTCGTAAGGTGTTCGTCGTACGAAAAAAATGTTTCAAACAAAAGTTGCATGGTATCCAAGGGGACATACAGTGCTCGAGTCTGTTTTTATTATCTTTCATTTTTATTGAGATATTACAGTGATAAACTCCATCTTTTAATGTTCCCCAAAGGAAATAGTAGTATATTTTTTATATTACATACACATTATATTGCATTATTAACATATAGATATGTCAAAGCATTTTAAACATAGTTAAATAAATCCTGTTCAATCGTTGTCTTTCAAACTTTTCTCTTTTACGTTCTCCCTCGTTCATTGTTTTTTGTTTTGGAACTCTGTAATATATAATCAAATACAGAATAATGCATATCTCTCAAATACAGAATAATGCATATAAATCTCTCAAATACAAAATAATGCATATAATATTTACTCTACTGGATACTAACGCATTACAGATACGTTTGGAATATTTGTATCATCCAGATTGGCAGTATACATAGGATTACCTTTATAATCACACATGTCACATGCATCGTTATTATATTGAATAATTTCAGGAATAAAATTTAATCATTCGGACATACAGATAATAATTATCTACAGAAATTATTCAATATAATAACGGTATTTTCAAGGAGAACTTTAACACAGGCTTCATAAAAAGATTATCAGTGTCCTTAACTTCCGACAACCGAGAATGAGTCAAGATACTCACAACGGAGCCCTTGTCTCGAGGATTATATCCTAAAACACGTCAAAATTCAGCTTATTTCCATAGATACGGTAAAAAAAGTAAGGAACAGATACGTAAGAAACAAAAATTAATTCTCTCCGGCGGGGAATCGAACCTTTTTTTTTTTAAAAAAAAAAGACATTTGTTTGCTTTGGATACAACGATAAAAACGTATACAGGCGCAAATAACGCATGAAGAAAAACCTGCTCGCTATCACAACGATGCTTCGTCTGCTAAAAGTACATGTCCCAAATGAGGGCATCTCGTACTTTATCTTTAACTACTAGCGTCCATTAAGAGATCATAATAAGTAATAAAGCGTTTTGACACATCCGTCACATAATGCTATCAATATCTAGGTTGCACGCATAGGAAAAGAAAAACAAAAACCTACGAAACGATAACATAAAAGAACCTATAATAGAATACTAAGAAATAAAGATAAACAAAGATATTAACGCTAGCCGAACGCAAGGCTTACTAATAAAATAATTAAACCTAAGGATAATATTAATGAAC